ATCACCGGGCGCACTTGTCTCAGGGAACTGGTGACAGATTTTTTCGCAAAATGAACAAAATTTTGCCCACTGCGTCCAGGCCCTATGTTATTTTCGGTTTGATTTTGTTTTGCAGTTTCACTACGATTTGAGTGGCAATCATGCGCCTCCACTGATCTCGAATAGTTGCGAAATCTCTCTATGCCCCACTTGTCACCGCTGTATCGTATATCGATTAGGGTTTTGTTAACTGGGATATGGAAATTTGTCAGTTTTGACGGTTTTGCGTGCGGTTTTCGGTTTTGATCGAAATTTCTTGCGGTTTTTTTCCTACGGTTTTGCGGTTTCCAATAATATACCTTTCTGCTTCCCTAATTGAATAAATGTTTACAACTGTTCTTAACAATTTCTCTTAATGAACGGCTCACTAGCATTTAACGAACAGGTTCTACGAATTCGCCCTCCTATTTGAATTGACCTTTATAACTACGGGGTACCTAGATAAATAGTTAATTCAAAGTGAATTGAAAGACCTCGCTTTGGATCGTCGATCAAAAATTACCTATCTTTCTGGTCTTTTGCTACAAGTTGTAACGCGGTTAATGCGTCAGGCGCCTGGGCCTGGAGAGAAATCGAATAAGAAATGGATTCAGGCGGCCAGCAGAGCTGCGGGGTTAACCAGTCATTATTCGTTTTGACAGAGGAACAAAATTAACGTACGCAAACAATGAATTTCTCCGAAACTACGGAAGTCCCAGGTCTGTGAAGTCTGGGCTATGGTTAACAGATGGGAGGAGTCTCTAGAGGTATGTCGATACTGGCGCTAAAAAAAACCGACTGTGCCAAAGTCTCCCTTCGAAGTTGTTGTTTTAAAGGAGCTCTCTGATGAAACCACCCTATAATTTGAAAACTAGACAAATTCAGTTATTTCATTATATGAATTTTTAGTGATTAATAAGGCCTTCATAATAATAATTTTAGTTGAAAGTCAATTCTAGGGCGAGAAATTACGACTTGAAAACCGTTCCGCCATTAATTTTCGTAATCACGGCCAACTTATCTTCGGTAAGCGGTCACTCCCATTGTGGCGTAGATTACTCAACACACCTTTATATTTATACGGAAACCTCGTGAAATTTAGTGAAATAGTCATTGTCTTAGTGTTATAAAAAGCAATATATACGATCAAAATACTGTTTTTGAAAATTAGCCGCGAGCACGGCGCGTCAAATGAGTAATCTCCAAACTCGCGCCAGTCTTCTTGAGCCCGCGAAGTGATTACGAAAGTTAATGGCGGAACGGTTTTCAAATCGTAATTTCTTGCCCTATAATTGAATTTCAACGAAAATTATCATTTAAAAGGCTATATTAATCACTAAAAATTTATATTATAATGGAATAACTGAATTTTTCGGGTTTTCAAATTATAGGGCGGTTTCATCAGAGTGCTCCTTTAACAATAACTACCACATCGACTTATTGTTTTAATGAATCCCAACATCGAATGTACTCGGAAAAATTCCATATTTGAAACAATTGAGGTGAAGACTCGTTTGGGAGATTAAACCACTTTCACGGGAACCTGCTTTGCACTATTATGGGAAGAGCACGCGCGTGAATAAACCAATTTGAGTACGAAGGCGAGATGTGGAAACAGTGTTTACGAGTAGCTGGTTGAAATCATCTAGAATTACTTGTTTGGATCTTTTAAAGATGGAAAGCCTCTAATATTAAGAAATGGATAATCATTCATTTTGTGTTTGCCGGGGGAGGGAAAATAGAGAGCGCTTACTGATTCCGATTTGACAGCTTATTTTGAGGAATGACAGCAACTGAATGAAAAGAAATGAATGAAAAACTTTATTTAAGTGTCTATGTTTTTAGCTATAAGCTAATGGAGAACACTAAAAAATTTAAAAGTCAAATACGTTTACATATGTAGATGATAGTTATTTACAGTAGATAATTAAAAAGACTATTAAGTTATTT